TTGGTAAATTCACTAAAATGCCAGATTACATAAAGAATGGTCTTTCAAAGGCAGTAATCAATGCTAAGCCCTTTGGTGTTATAATATCATTAGAGGATCAATAGTTGTGTGTTGCTTTGAGAGAAGGTACTGGGCAAGGGGGACAAAGGGGAACATGACGTGGGTTTGACATCATTGAATGTAGGGTGGAAGTTCTACAACAACAACATGGTCAATTTGACACAAACAGTGGATCAATGGTTTCCAACAGAGATGAGCACATTGATCAGTCAAAATACTGAGAGCTGCCCTCTGTTTCCAGTGTGCCTTTGTGCTCCATATCTATATTTAGAACACGTATAGCAGCAGATGAAGGCATGCCATCAGGGATCTATTCAAAGTGAGAAAGTAAACTGACTCAAGGTCAGTGCACAATAAATAGCTTTGAAATAGGTTTTTGTCTTTTTGAAACTCCATTATGGCTCAGTCTAAACCTAACCCTCTCTCACACTGCAGAAGGTTCACAGCAGATAAATGAACACATTTTATGAAAGAGTTTTTTTTACTTTTTAAGGGTATACAGTACGTTGATTCATCTCTCTCTTTCAATAGCACCATCTCTATCTTTTTTTTATGCTGGGTATTTCTTACAAGAGAAACACATAAAGCTGCATGTCAACGAGTTCCATCTAAATGTGGTAGAAGCTGAATTGCAAAACTTTTTGGGCAATGTTTCAAGAGTAAGTACCAAACCCGACTGCCTTTAAATGCTTTTTCGTGTTATTTGATCCAACCTGTTAAGTGCATTCTATATCACCCTGAAAGTCTGACAGGAAATACCACAGGACGCCAGACAGAGTAACCCAATAAAAGCAAGAGCGCCCAAATCATTAGTGGGGAAACACGCTCACATAACACATCCAGATGTACAGGCTAATTAGATTTGACCATCAAATCAACAGTTGTAGGGCCTTTGTGCTTTTATGAGACTGACCGCAAGGTAAAGGGAAAATGGACCGTTTGAAGTGACAAAACCTTACCCATGGCTTTTAGCAGGTAGAATGACTGGGCTGGGATGTGAATAGAGCATGTTGTACTCTGCATGCAGAGACTGAGAGCCATGGCCTCACTCCCTGAAGTGATGTAGGAGCTTCTCCACAGTTGGCAATGGTGACTCATCAGGGGATGATGTAAATAAGATGGCTTGCATGGAGGTAATTGGTGTGGAGAGGTAATTTCCCTCGTGTACCAGGGCTGCCCCTAGAGTTTCAGGGGTGGCCACAAGAGAAAAAGTAACTAAAGGGGCGGCATGGTTACGTCAGAAGCTGCTGTTAGTCTGCGGCCCCTCTCTTGGGAGCAACATCCCCTCTGACTGGAGAACTCGGCACCTGACTAGGATAACTTCCGCCAAAGTCCTCCCAGGGCGCGTGATGAAACTCCACATATGCAGGAAGAAAAGCAACAGGCCGGAAGCCAGAGAGGTGGATAAAACTAACAAGATTGAAACAGATTGAAGAAGTAGAGGACACGGAGAGCTAGGGCTGTGCAATTAATCGTATTTTAATCGCAATTACGATTTTGGCCTGCCACAATTACGAAAACAACATAATCGAAAAAAACAATTATTTTGCTTTGCTAGGTTGTGACAGTGCACTGCAACATATTTGATCTAATTAATTTTGGTCTCATTTATTTGTATTTATCATATTTATATATGTTTAGTAGCTTGTGGAAGTGCGCTCCAAAATATTTGTTGATCTTGTTTATTGGTATTTATTATTTTGATATTATTTATTTAAATTAATCATTTATTTTTGTATTGGTTTTTCAGTTGAATTATACGTTCAGGGTAATTAACAGTTAAAAAGATACTGTTCAAATTATTATTTGTATTTGTTCAATAAATGGATTTGGAAGTCAATGAATAATCGTATTTAATAATCGTGATATCAATTATTGACCCAAATAATCGCGATTATGATTTTTGCCATAATCGCACAGCCCTACGGAGAGCACATATCTACATTTCCAAGCCGGATCATATTAGTTATAAGGAGCACTGTTTGTCCTCCCCTCATATCGGTTGCAACACTTAAGTTCAGCTCCCTTCCTACTCCAGTCTGCCTCCCTGCTGGGTTTCATCATGCACAGTGTGTCACAAGGCAAGCAGTGCTATGGTGATTAAGCCAAAGAACTTGGGAGTTGATTTGGAACTGGCACAGTAATTGTGGTATTGTGAGTAGGCTTCTTTGGTTGGAGAAAAAAAAAACAAGACTGCAAGGTATGACCACAGTTTCTTGAAATAGAGCGAAAATAGTCTTAAAACCATGGCAGGAATTATCTTTTTGTTTCCTTTCTAGTCCTAGTAGATCATTTTAATTGGCTAAATTAAAATAAATAACATGTTGTGTGTGCATTCATGCGTATGTGTGTGTTAACTGACATCTATAATGGCCTTTTATTTAAATTTGGAAAGTGCTAGGGGCGCTTGACTGGTCTGGCCCACTTGTTCCCTCATCTCTAATATCCCCCCACTCTATGTCAATGTTCTGATGTCAAAACATACACACAAGCGCACACACACGGACACACACGGACACTCACACACACACAGCCACACACTAATTTTGTGTTTGATAGGAGGGAGGTGACAGACAGTGGAGCCCATGCCCTGGAGAGCAGAGCGGAGTGGCTCTCCAGCAGGGACTCTGACGTTCACACTTAAATGCTTTAATAGGACTAAAGTAGACAAAGGCCGCGAGTGACGCAGTAGGAGCTATAATGGGCTTGCCACATTGCAGGTTTACTGGACCCTGCCTATTGGACAAAGCTATTCAATCCCACAAATCCTCATCAGCCTCAGGAAGCTAGTTTTAAATAAAAAGTGTAGGTTAATCGCTGCTAACATGTCTCAGTGAAATTTCTTTTTTTGTTTAAGGAGCAGTAGGCCAGGTTGACCAAGGCTACTTTCTGGGAACTAACTATTCAATTACAAGTGCAGAGAAATTCATTTGATTTTCTTCACGTCTGACTTGACTAAAGAGTGCACAATTATATGTATATTGTGGAGAACATGATATGAATAGATGAATATATCATCATCATCAGTCATAATACAAAAATTGACTGCAGCATAATAGTATTTATGTTGTGTAATAGCGGAAATTCCCAGTAACAGGAACATTGCAAAAATATTTTTAACTTTTCATTTTGGGAAAAAAACACATTAACGTGTAATTGTTTTCGTGTGACGGAGGTACTTCCTCATTTGACCAATACTGCCTTAACCTATGTTCAGGTCAGCCAACAGGATACTGTGACAGATGGAGCTCTCGGTCTTTAGCCGTCATCACCTTTAACTTGAAAGCTTGTTATCTCTCACACCATCTTATCCAAATTGACTGCTAAAACTAATTCCCGAAGATCCGCAGTTTGCTAAATCTATTCTACAAAAATGTGTCACTAAGGGGAAGTTGAAGTTATTATTTATTGATAGATTTGCCACAATGTGTTATGTCTTTGTTGAGAAATTAGCTCTTAGCTTGTAGAGTAGGCAACGATTAAATAATTATCTAAAGTTTTGATATAAAAGGGAAGTAGTAATGAAACAAAACGAAGCTCCTTGTTTTTCTGTTTATGAATAGTCAAGTAGTACAACATCATACACTATCTTCAGAGTTGTTTTATGTCTGGGGCGAGCCGGCAAGCTGTGCATTTCCTTCTTGGCTTCTTGGTTGTGTTGTGATAAAAGGATCGAGGGGTTAAATGTTTGTCCAGCTGAAACAACACAGTCAAACTCCTTCTCTGTGTCTCTGTAGCCTAGTCGTCAGAGCTCAGGAACTAAAAATAGCCGTGCTGGCTCCACGCCCCTGGCTGGGGGACAGGTCAAATTATGAAGGAAGATGAAAAATTTAAAGGCACAGGCTACTTGGCCACAAACCCAGCCCTGCATCAGTGGTCAGATAGAACATTTGACTTGACTTTTATGGGTGAGTCAGATTATATTAACTACAGAGCTTGGCCAGTTTGGGATGTAATATTAATTGAAAAAGTCCTACTTCATTGCTACATGGTGCCCAGAACTCAGTATGCATGGTCTTTAAAATGTATTATTTGTACCAGTGTTTTATTTGTCATTTTGGAAATCCCTGCTTTACACAGTTTTTTCATTGGAAATGAGATGTGTTATCCTGGAGAAGTGGTCTTGACACAGTTTGAGGTTTACGTAATTGCTATCAAGCTGTTATGGCATCTTAGTTGGCTTCCTTGGCTATCTGAAAGCATGCTTCCTGAGCAGCAATACTGCCCTGGATACACACTGAACCTACACATACACCGAGCTATGGCAATGAGGTTATACTCCGAGTTAAATGAACACCGTGTTTATTTGGTGTCTTACTTGATTTAACACATCTTGTTAGCTTAATTCTAATGCATGTGTGTTTGTTTGTTTATAGCATCATCCTTTTGTTGAACTGTTAGCATTCGCCAAAACAATTTCAATCCACTATATATTATATTTAGTGTACCATATTAGAGACAAACCTTGCAAAACCCTTGACATAACATACTGCACAGATGTGAACTTCATGTGTCTCTTTTAGCACAAGGTAGAAATGGATCATTCCACCCTTGTACCTGCGAGAACAAAAATGAAGACATAAATAGAGTGAGTGAGAGAGACTGGTTCGACAAATCAAAAAAAGAGGAATAGGAGAGAGAGGAATCAAGCCTCCATCTGCAGAGAGGGAGTCAGGAGACATGCCTTCTGGCAGGAGCAGAAGAAGACAGCTGTGTTTGGTGTGGTATTTTTAAACGCATCAATGCTGCTCCAATCCCCGCGCCTCGCCTGACCTATTTTTAGCCAGGGCTGGCCATTGTTCTATTTCTGTCACCTGTGGGCCACGCAGTTGTTGATTCACATGCAAATGAAGCTTGCTCCCTCCCTGGCTTGCATTACTGCCTCAGCGAGGTGCTCAGTGCACACTACACAGCTTTCCTAGCAACCCAGCAACCCAGCTTTACATTTGTCTCTGCTCAGACACTTCACTGAGGAGAGAAAAAAGAGAGAAATAGAGAGATTCAGATAAGAAAAAAGAAAAGCTGGACTGGGCATCTTCTCCTATTACTGTGTTAGTGTTTGGACCAGATTGAAGCAGGCACCAGGAGAGTGGCAGCCCTGCAGAGATAGTGTGCAGTGTGTGTCGTTGCGCCACAGTGAGAGTGTTTTATCAGAGGAGGAGGCAGAGGAAGGGAGAGAGTTGCCTGTTGTCGTGGTCTCTCCCCTGAGTGGCTAAGGGGTGGCTCTTGGTGACAGGAAACGCAAGGCTTGCAATGAGACCTGAGCGCTGAGTGGAGTATGCTGCAGACGATTTACGAGGGCGAGTCAAGTTTCTCCACAACAGAAAGCCGCGTTGGAAACCAGCAGTTCCCCAACCAGAGCAAGATGCACAACGTGAACAACTCAGGTGATCACACAGCCCGGCGTTTCATCTCCTTTTGAGGAATCTCAGTTTTTATCCTTTATCCTATCCTATTTTTTCCCCTCTTTTCATTCCACTCTGCCTTTCCTCTACCTCTTCCTACTCTCCGCTATTTGACATCGTGCCTCTCTTGCACAGAATTACTCTCTCTCCCTCTCTCGCGTACTCTCAACTCTTTGCGCTCAGCCAGTCTCTCATTCTGTGTGAAAAGAGAGCTCACAGCTTCTCAGCACAGCAACGTGGTAGGATCAGGCACTTCCTTCTGAAACAAGGTATTTGCTCTTGTTTGTGATTGTAAATGCAGCTTTATGATTTTTCATTCTCATTTGGATTGTTACCTCAATCTGTGTTTAAAGATGTCTTGAAGAAGAATTTAAAAGTTCTGTATATCTTGATATTTTTAAGATGAATGGAGTGTTGTTTTTATCCTCAAATAAGTAACTGTGTTAACATTATTCCCATGGTCTTTCTAGTTGCCTGAAATGAGTCACTCTAAACATGAAAGGGATGTTGTGTTTTTGTGAGCTTCCGTGTCAGCGTGCACTTTTCAGGGAACAGGAAAAACTGTGACAGAAATACTAAAGGAACAACTGAAAGGTTTCTCTCAGGATATTTACCACAGCATTTATGGTTCTATTTTTGACTTGGGAATTGAATTGAAGAGGACATGGCTGACATCAGTATGAGTAACATCTATTCACTGTATTGAGTCAAGATGAGTCACACCTTTTCAGCTAGTAGCTATTGATAAAATGTGAAAATTGTCTCTGGAAATACTTCAGGGTGGAAACATTGTTCTCTGTAAAGACATTGTCTTGTGGGTGACTGAGAAGGGTGTTTATTGAGAAATTACAGATTGAGTCATGTGATTGCTTCAATTACTGAAAAAAAGCCAACAGCAGAGGGTGTCATGATGTTTGAGTAATTCAAACTAATTGTGCATTTAGAAGACTGTTGCCTGAGCATTTTTGGTGTAAAAGCTAAATAAAAAAGAACTCATTTTAAAGAAACACCCCTAAGTCTGACTCGAGGCAAGCAAAACATCCAGAGGCAGTGAACTGAACGTGATGAGATTTAAAAATAAGATGGGAGAGATGACAGGGAGATGGCACATTCCATGTCTGTCAATAGAGCAGGTTATTTGACTATCAGGCTCCAGGAGCAGGGCTTTCTTCTTCTTCTGCTTTAACGGCCTGTGAGCCAAACAACAGATATACTGAGCGCCTGAATTCGGGCTCCTTGCTTATTCTGTGGGTCAGCTATTCTTAGGTGAGTTATTTTCAGCTTATGGCATTAGCCTGCTAAGATTAGGCGTCTGTGCGTTATCATTCCATCTCGGCATGCTCCTAATATAACAGTGGTTTGGAACAGATATTTATAGAGAATTCTGTCATTTGCCTGTTTAATTTGTTCTTTCTATTTGATAGTAAATCACTTGACGGTGACTAACATTATCTGTTTAAAAAAGCTACTCTAGGATGCCTTTGTATGAGTTTACTGGATGTCATGTGAGTTGTTGATAGGGCAGACTTAGTCCCTTTAAATCAGACCCAGGGGTGGGTTTATTATGTGCAGTGTGTTCATTTTAGGATAGGAATCTATTATCATGATTATTGTTGGTGAAGAGATCCTTATGTCACCAAATCATTTATTTGTGAAATGTTTTCTAAAGCAAACTTCTTGACATTTTGTATGATACCTCTCTGTCGTATAACATTAAAATGAAGGGCAAAATCCTATTTTTATTAATGTGAGTAACATCAGAGTTCTGACAAAAACGGTCCTCAGATGGCCACTCAAACAATGGAAATTAATTAGTTTCCCTTGAGTGCTAAATATTATGTAAAATGTCATGCAAGCTCTGTTCAAAAGAAACCTTTCAGATGAAAACAATGCTGCACCTTTCAAGTCCTCTCCTCTGTATCCTGTACCCATTCAGGTTGCCGCACTGCTCAGCACTCAGGAGGCTGTGCAAAACAACCCAAATCAATATTTTTGTTTCAGTATTGTTTAATATTTGCCCGTTATAAGAATGAAGTACTTTTTATTTTAAACCATAACTAATGATAAGGTTTACAGTTTGACAAATCAACTGATATTTCTTTAACATTTTGCATTTTTTTCCTGTTTGTTTCTAAAAAGCACAGTTTACTGCTCGTTTTTTTGATCAGGGATGCAAAGAGATGATTTCCCTCTGGGTGTAGTTTTCCCTGTAGCTCAATGCATTAAGGCGATTGAGTCTTTGTGATTGATTTATTCTGGATTTGATTGACTGAAGGATCTAGTGCCAATGCTGTCTTCGGAGAATAGGGTAATGATTTTGTGAAACATCTTCAAAGCAGGACTTGTTAAGTATCATATACAGTTTTTTCCTGTTTCTCCTTGTTTTAGCTTGAAAACAGATTTAGTATAAAGTATGTCATTTTATGTGTTGTTGTTTTGTGAGATGATGGCAGGGCTAGAGACTCCTGGACTCCTGGCTCCCCTCAGCAAAAGGCCTGTGGTGGTTCAGCTCAGCCCTCTTTGTTAGCAGATAGCCTGCAAGCCGCAGCTCAGCTGCAAGGCCGAGCCTGAGTCTTAAAAATAAAGACCTGTTTCTTGCTTTAGACATGCCAGCTGCTCAAAATAACAAGGCACTTAATGAGAGATCCAGCACCACATTGCAGTCCCAAGCATCAGCTTATTTTTACACTCAAACATCTTCTGTATCTCTGGTTCTATTTATACTGTCAGACAGGGAATTTAGATCAGCAACCATCTCAAGTGCTCACTGAATGGATGCAACATACAACATGTTCAAAGTGTAAACACTGTGTGGACTGTTCTGTATATTGCCTTTTTATAAATGTCATGATGAAATATACACTGTATAAAGGTGATGATTCTTGGTCAGTATAGCATTGGGTTAAGATGTTCTCAACATCTTTTATTATACACAGCTATGTGTTTCTCAAAAATGATGTGGCAATGTTTAGGGCGGTTGTGGTAGTCTAAACTAGTAGTAGCCAAAAAGCTGTTGCAATTCAAATCTATGAAAAGGAGGTTACTTAGCTGTCACTACCTGTAACCATATGTAACGTATTATTTACGTAAAAAAGAAAGACAAATATTTTATACTGAGACTACTGTCGAGGTGAATTGGCTCATAGCAATCTGATTCTTAACAATCTATTGTTTTTTTACGTCTTGCAAGTGAAACTATTGACTCTATATATATCAACTCTAACATCAATATTAGCACCAGTATAAGCATGATTGAAATAAGTTTGAATGTTTCTAGGTAAACTCAATTTTTAAAAGTATATATACAACTTGAAGCCTGTATTATTGAAAAAATAAAAAAATTTCCTTCTGGAGAAATTCTGAATATTTGTACCCTTATTCAGTGGAAACTCTTAAAAGTGTAAGAATAGCTGCATTTATTATTCAGTGTGGATGTTTACAATGGTAATACATCTTTTCACACATTAGTTGTCAGTTTTTGTGCTAGAAAAAAAAGATTACATTGAAAGGTGAAGACATGAGCCTGCTTAATGACTTTTGTTAATAATGTTTTACTATACATATCTGTTTATTTTAGGCTTCTCACATGTAATACTAATGTCACTGGCGATGTGTGTCTACTCTCTCTCCGGGGTGGGAAGCCTGCTAATGTGGCCTGAGGCAAAAAAAGACAGCCATCCAACATCTCAAATTAAGGCTGTGATTGTCACCCTAACCACCACCAAGACTAATGAGAGGCAGATCGGTTATAGAAATAAACACGTCGGGGACACTGGCGGTGCGACGCTGCAGTGGGAGTGTGGTCACAGGCTATGAGTCACCCTATCCCCCCTTGGCAGGCCCTCCACAGGGAGGAATTTGGGCATGGGGCAGGGTGCTTGTCGCTCCCTTGTGCTAAAAACAAATTTGGGACCTGTCATTCATAAATCTCTTGTTTACCAGTGCCTCGAGACAAGTCTGTGTACTTTCCACCAATCAGAAAGCAACCCACTTTCACCCGGAAAAAAATCCTATCAAGAATCATGATCGCCAATGGCACCATCGGACCACTGAACCAGAAGTGGCAGACCTATTTCGGCGAGTGATCCTTTAAAAATTACCCCGAAAGTTACATAAATGCAACACTGCGCTTTTATTTTTGCCCGTGTTAAATCAAGCAAGCGGCCTCGCAACTGTGACAGTCTTTCGCACATTCTCTATATTAAGACCCTGCTCAGAAAAGCATTTATATTTAGCCCTAGTTACTGGTGGTTCCGTATTCTCCTCTGCCTCAGGAGTATTTTTGTAATAAAGAAACGGCAGATTTCAGTTTCGGGTAGTTTCAGGGTTTATTTGACTATTTGAATATGTTAGCTATAAATGTGTGCCTGTGCTATAAATGTGGATGAGTAATGTTCGCAGAGACATGTTTTAACCTTTTTTTCTGTTTCGATCAGTACATAGAATAATGTCAATCATGAGGAATGTAAGTTATAAATTATTCATTAGGTAGAGGCTTCAGCAGAGCTCTAACAATGCCTATACCTTTAGGACCTTATTATGTTCTCTCAACACTGTCATTCCATCCAGTGTTATTCTTGTCGACAGACAGTGGACAAGAGTAGAATAGGCACATGATGCTGTTGTGGTTTCCTCAAGGGCCATTTTATATAGCCTCGGATATAAAAGGTGGCTCTAGCTTTCAAACTCCACCCCCCCCCCCCCTACTCCCACTACTCCCCCTTCCTCCTGTTAAATCACTGTCTGAGACTGAGATGGAGGCTCAGCTTGAAACAGTATGATGATCAAAGTGGAGATCCTTAATGCCAGTCACAGTGTGGGAACAGAATGAAATATGAGATTAATTAGATATCTCTTTGGTGAATTCTCCGTGGCAGCAGGTGTTTTTTTGTTGCTATATTTAGGTCCATTAGGCAAAAGTAGCACCAGGGCTGTCTAACTCTCTGAGCCCTTCAATGGTTCACAGGTTCTCATCTGCTCCTGGAACAACCCCCGCTACAGCTGAGTCCTTTGTGAAGTTCTTACAAGCTAAGATTAATAATCCCTGTCAGGAGAGACGGGTCTGTTCTACAGGTGCCTGTTCTCTGCGCCTGCCCTCCTCTGTCTTTTCATAGGAGCTGTTTTTAGAACACAAAAGAAAAATTACAGTGCGGGAGTCCCCTCTAGCTGTCTTCACTCTTTGAACATGTTTAAAGACAAGTTATCACTTAGCCATTGAATTGCTGCAGAGTGTGTGTTTGTGTGTAGGTGTGTGGGTGTGCTTCTAAATGCTTTTCCTGTGTCTCTCTCAGCTGGGGACTCCTTCCTTATATAAGAGCTGAAAGGCTGATATAATAGTCAACATGTCACATTGCCACTGTAGGCAGGAGATGACATGCAGTGAGACTCGATATCTGCAGGATGGGGAGACATAATTACGTAGACAGCGTTGCCATGGCAGCGGCAAGTTAGGGTGGTGGATACTAGGGTGTGGGGGTTGTCACAGACCAGGATTGCGCCACTTGCTTTTATGTTTCTATTTATAATCATCGCCGCCGCCGCATACACATGGAATGGTGGCAATGAAAAACAGGCTACATGACAAAACAAATGGACGCCAGTGAGATTCACAGCATCAGTGAACAGGAGGCATTGGTTCCTAATTGATGGCTACTGTAGGCTGACACTTCTGTTTTAGGAAGGTTTAAACTCCTTTTTATTGGTATTTCATTATGAGGATAAATGCATCGCAGGCACAAGGTTATTTATGTGATCATATCAATTGTAACATGTTACACAGAACAGGTGGTATAGTAACGTTGCTTGTACAGTATTTGTTCCCTCAACTGTGACCCTAGAGAAGATTACAGCCTTGAACGCTCTCAATAAATCTCCCTCCAGCCAGTGGAATTTTAAGTAGCTTTGAATATTTCTCTGGTCTTAAAATGGAAAATACATTATACAGTCTGGACAATGCGTACCCTTCCTTGAATGTCACATCATGATCAGCATTACTAACATGCCATTTTGACATTTCTATTCAATTTCTGATCTAATAAAGGTCTAAATACATCCTTTTATGTCTGAAATGGTTTGAAGATGTCATTTTGTTTTAAGAAAAACATTTCTTACTGAAGCAGGAATGTAACTACATGCAACAGTGTGAATGAAAGCAAAGGTATAGAAGATAAAGAAAGTTACTGTTCAATCACTAATCATCCTCAGTGGAATAGAGAGATGAAGTAGCCCTGTCTCCTCTGTTCTTAACTGGCGATCGATTTTCTCTGTGGAACAACCTATATATAGAGCTTGGAGACCAAAGGGATGCCCTCTCACTTTGTATCTGGCAATTACTTATAATGGAGGTAGTCTTCAAAGACAAAGGCAGTTCTTACGGATGCACAAACATTGCAACTCAAGAACAGAGATCACAGGAACATAGATTCACAAATGTATGCGTGTTCCAGGCTCAAAACTACTTTAAATCATTTATGTTAACAAGGGATCTGTATGATGTTCTAGTAGAGAAGGGGAGAAGGAGTCGCTTTTATTTATTTATCAAACACTGGGAAGATAGGATTTATGTAAATACTTTAAATGACTACTTTAACATTTCGTGCCAAATGTCCATTGAGTCTGTTATACAGCTGCTCCCAGTAGACTATGCTGGCGGATGTGATCCCATGTTTGTTTATAGGAACTTTTATAATTGCAGGTTTGTGAGGACCACGAGAAAAAAAAGCTGCTCCTCATTTCCTACCCTTTTTCTAATTCTTTTTATTTTTTTAACTCCATGTCTCTTATTTTAGAATCCTATTTCTTTGTGCCCTCCTCAACTCTGAAAAACACTATTTGTTCAAAAGCAATGTAGACATATCTTAAGAAGAAATGTAGGGATTGACGAATGTCTTTTTCTCTCCTCTTTCTCACAGTGGACATTAAGCCAGACCTGCCCTTGGCTGTGGAGTCTTTATCTCCGTTGGACCTGCGTACAGATCTGAGGATGCTGGGCTCAGGCTCGGACCCGGGACTGTGGGAGAGGCAGCTGCAGCAAGAACTGCTCCTCATTCAGAAGCAGCAGCAGATCCAGAAGCAGCTACTAATCACAGAGTTCCAGAAACAGCATGAGAAGTTGACCCGTCAGCACCAGGCTCAGCTCCAGGAGCACCTCAAGGTCAGCATTGCACTGAGCAGTTATATGGAGGACAGCACAGCAGTGTGCAAAACAACAGAGCACAACACAGCATGGCATACTGTAGATCAGTAGAAAACATTATAGCTCAGGACAACATTACAGAGTGCAGAGAAGAAGAAACAACTGAGCACAGCAAGACAGGGTGTTGCGCAATACATTACGGAACAGTGTGAGTTTTGTTTTCAAAGAATAGGAAAATAGAAACTGAGGAAGCTCACATAAGCCATTGTCATTTCAAACGTATTTGTCAGTGTGTTCTCTTCATGCTGACTTGATGCTTGCGTGTTTCTCAGCTCCAGCACGAGCTCCAGGCCATGAAGCAGCAGCAGGAACTTGTAGAGAAGGAGCGTCGTCTGGAGCAGCAGCAGCAGAGCCAGCAGGAGAAGGAGCAGGAGAGGCATCGGCGAGAGCAGCATGTTTCCAGCCTGATCCTCAGGGGCAAGGAGCGCTCCAGAGAGAGTAAGAGCTTGAAACCGCCATCATCACCATCTCCTTAACATCAGGGGTGGAAAAAGTTACTTTCAGGGCCCGAGGCAACACTCCGTCTTTCCAATAATTGTAGATGTTATTAATGCGATATCTTAGAGTTTAGTCAAAGACAAATATGCATATAACAGATGATTATACATCCAGAACGATCTTAAAGTACTGTGAGTTAGTGTAAAATGCTTTTTAATTTGTTAAGTTAAGCAACCCTTTTAAAACAACCTCCTCTTACTTACCAGGAATAATGACATAATAATATTCTGATTATATTCAGCACAGTAAGGTTACATTTTCACATAATAGTATATCATTCTCACTGCACGGGACATGCTATTCATAGGCAGGACCTGTTCTGATTTCTGTTCATGTTTCTGGTTAGAGGAGACACATTTTTTACAATATTCGCTATGCTAGAGGATGCCTGAAACAAGGCAAATTACAAAACTCAAAATCATTTAGTCTCTATAGATAAAAGAGAAATATCCAACAATATGATGATGATGATGATGATGACATGGTACTCAACCAGTACATGCAACGGATGACATAAGGTCGTCCAGTGACATTTAACATTAGCGTTTAGGAGAAAATGCTTTCAATAGAACGATGAAAATAGCTTCAGATATAGTATTTCATTTCTGCTTTTACCTTATAGCTAATAATAGACAAGATTTATGACTTTGTCGGGTCAGGTAATTTGAAACTGTGACCTGCAACTATAACCCTCCCAACGGGAAAGAACATCTCTCTGCAGTATCCCTTTAGCAGCTTGAAACTAATATAATGCTCTGAGACCACTAGGGGGAGATCTTCCTGCATGAGTTGTTGCCGCTCAGGGAGATAATATAAACTCCATGTTAATTGAGATAAGAGAAATAAGAGAGGAAGAAAGCTGAATTATTGTAATTTAAATGGGATGGATGAAAAAAGATGAGGGAACCTGTTAGAATAATGCTAAGCTTGATTCGAATGATTACATACTGTAGGGAATGTTATTTAATGAGCCATAGCCCCTAGGGTAACCCCAATTCTGTTGTTTCCAACTTTTGGTCTCACAGGTGCAGTGGCAAGTACTGAGGTGAAACAGAAGCTCCAAGAGTTTCTGTTGAGCAAATCAGCAAAGGACCCTGGCAGCAATGGAGTCAATCCTTCTTTCATCCACCTCCAAAAACTCTGGTACACGTAAGTATTTTCTGTTGTTTTATTCTGAGACAGTGTGATACAAATTCAGACTTTTAACTGTAATTCTATATCATACATCTGATGTATTTTTGTGTGATTAGGTCCTCTCACCACACATCACTCGACCAAAGCTCCCCCCCTCTGGGCGGCACATCCCCCACCTGCCATTATACTCTGCCATCCCACATGGAGAGCAAGGACGACTTCCCCTTGAGGAAGACAGGTTTGTTCATTTGTGCACATACACACTGCACAGACATAAAAATGCAAATACACATATATACATAAATCTACACAGACATAGATTTTTTACGGGATTTCAGATTGTGTGTGTGTTTGTGTGTCTGTGTGTGTGTTAAGATGTTGCCTTATATAAGTTATTTTCAATTTTCTGCACTGGGTTATGAATACAGTGGGTGTCTTCTTGACCCTTGTCGATCAAGATGTCGGTGTGCCCATGGAGTTTTTCCTGAGGTTGCTGATGACCTGCTAATAACATCAGTTAGGCTCATTATGACCCCAGCCCCCCCGCCCCCTCAGCCCTCCAGGGCTCAACACAAAACTTTTTTAAGCGGTGACGCATGCCAGAAAACTTAAACCTTTCCTTATTCCTATTTGGATTATTGTAAAACACACATGCAACAACACAGTTTAATTGAATGTTTTCACTTCGCAAGTTACATTTTAATTAGTCTAATTTGTACTGAAATGACCTTGCTTTTATTTAAAAGGAACTACATTTGTCCCTATGTTACAATAATAAACCAAGGTGCTAGACCTCTGTGAGCTGTTTAGTGAGTAATGGGAGAATTAAAGGGGATTAATTTCTCCTGAGTTATGGGCTTTAAAAGCTATTTTCAAAAGACACAGGTTCCCACCAAAAACAGCTCAGGTTTGTTGGTTTAAAGTTTGAGGAATCCTTTGGGGATGGTTGTATAAATAAGAATATTTGTTGCCTTTTGGTTTGCACGAGCTCGCCAAGCTAAAAAGCTTCATATTTCTGCAATGAGGTCACCAAATTACATTATGTTCTTTTCCCCTCTGTGTCTCTTTTAATTACATTGAAAACAATTATACTTGTTGAGTTATTTAACTGCAGGCCTGTCATGTTGCGTGTATACACAACTTAGAGATCAGGCAAAGGAATTATATCTTGTAGAGTAAAGTCACTGCATGGCAAGAATAAACACTCATGTAAATGAAGGCTTTGAGAGGTTTTATTTATTGTAATCTCTTTGAATTTTACCATCTTCAGAACAGAGAAATGCATATTTACATTTCTAGGACATGCATATAGAGCCAAAAGGTAAAGAGTTGCCGCACAAGTATAATAACTAGTTTTAGACAGTTTTCTTAAATAACAGAGAGAGTGTTTACGGACACATTGTTTGTCTTTTACTGTGAATACAAACAGGCAGGTTAAAACAAATAACTAGAAGGATACAATTTCAGTTAGAATATTTTCACATTTTTATTCATGGTTGAATCATCTCCCTGTTGCTGTGCCTCTTTTGCACTGATAAAACTATTTCTTATTCTCCGGATTCCTGACTCTTTATGTGGTCATTTCCTGCTTAGGCCTTCCTCCCCCACTTCCTGTCTGTCTTTATTAACGTCCTCTGAGAGCTTGGCACCCGAGGGGGACACACAAAGGTAGTGTTGTTCCCTGAGCCACTAGCTGTCACTGATAGCTGATTGGCAGGTGTTGCCGAGTTAAGACGGGCACAGCCAGGATGAACCTCGACAGGACTGTTTGTTTAAGCAAAGATAGCTCTCTCAAAACAAAGTGGAGATGACTCGACTGCTCCACGATCGACTTCCTCACTGCTTTATTTGGCCAGAGGGCAACACTGGATTCAAATGTCTCCTTAACCCATTTTAAGCACACTATTTAGGTACAGGTATAGACATAATAATCCGTAGAGACAACTGTGGATCAGGAAGTCCTCTAAATATCCTATTAAAGGAACAATCTGTGCTTTGATCTCCACTTTTAGGCTTCCTATTCATAGTTATGTCATCCTTAAAAAACTAAAATAGGCTATAATGCCCTTGGCCTGTTCATAAACTAGTTAAAAGAACGTCACGTAATTATCTTGTTTACTTGGTGTATATCCTCTTCGTTTCACTTCTTTGTTTCCAGAGCCTAGAATAGACTGGACGGAGGGCACGCGATAGTCTGTGGCAAAAATAGTTTGCAGCTTAGCAGGAAGAAGTGAGACTCCCTCTCTGGTCCTGACCCAGTTACCAAATGTTTGCATTCAGCAGGTGCAGGAAATATTTACTAAAATAATCAAACAAACTTACACCTGTAAAGACTAAAGCATATCAGAAAGATTAAGGGTTAGTTTACTAGTAACAGAGTTATTCAGTTCAATTACAAAATGAATGTTTTAGTAATCAATTACAGTGAATGAGAAAAAGTATTTAAAAGTTACTACACAAAATGTTGGTCATTCTATTGCTTTGTTCAAATCGTAACTCAAGTTAGAAATACGTTTTTTGAAAAGGTTTTACAGTTATCACTGTTGAATGCTGTTGTAAGGATTACACTGCCTGCTTTAAGATTAAAACATTTGTAATAAAAGGCATTACTTTAACGTCATTTAAATCTGTAACCGTTTACATTTCAAAAGTAACATTTCCAAAGCTAAGAATATAATCTGATCTTGAATATAAGAAACATTAGGAAAAAAAGATATCCTGCTGATCTCATAACTCTGAATATCTAAACTCAGAGGAACCGTAACTTGGCTTTGTTTGAGCCTTCATGCAAAGGAACAGCGCACACTCAGCATTAATTCATCAATTTCAGCATGACTTTAAACCAGAATGTCAGGAACATGCATAGCAGGCGTCTTTATGTACAGAACAAACACCTCAGCTTTCCACACAGCCATCTGTCCAGGTCCACGCTCTAATGGACACAGACACTCACCGTAACAGCAGAGTTAAAATGTATGATTGAGCGGAGATAGCATAACACTTATGGCTGCACAGCCACTCGCCCTGCAGCACCACTTTCAAATGCAATAAGGTAATTGATTTATGAGTATATTGCAGCCATTACTGTATGTTTTCGTTTACTGAGAAGCAGAAGTGACCCAGGTGTTCAGCGTATGTGCTGTGAAGGCGCCATCATAGCCTCCTGTTGCACCGTGCATCAGGGCATTTTCTTCCATAGAGACCAGCGAGAAAGTGTTTGTTCCTGAGGTGCTGTCTGCCGTTCCCGTGGCGACCAATTGGGATGCGTAGCTTGGTGGCAGCAGTGTGTAAAAATAGAAAGCAATCAAGGCAGCGGGGCGTGAAGCAGATTCATACGACTCCCAGCTGCTTTTTTTCTCCATTTATCTCTCCTGCCTCCTTTCTTCCACCCACGCTCTCGTTCACTCTACCTCACACCCACAGGATTAGAGGTCTGTGCCACGTATTAGGGTAGAGGGTTTTGCTGCTTTTGACAAAAGCCAGAAATAGCAGCATCTGGCCCACTCTCCTGACTGTGCCCCCATCGGCTCCCTCGCCCCCTCCCTGCAGTGCTCCCACGTCATAGCCCCACTTCCCTATGGTTAGCTGTGTATGTTGTACACATTGCAAAGACCTATTTAATTATTGATCTGAACTCAATAATTGACACAGGTTGGCTATTGTGTAACAGGTTTACATAACTTCAATGCAGCTTTGTGCTCTGGCTTTCAGTCAAAAAACAGCTTATCTATTCTGCTTGTTTATTTGAGTGTGTAAGGTTAGCTGTGGGACTTCATGCCCAAAGGGTTGATGGGAAATCCACATGAGACATGTTGACCTAGTGAGTCACTGTCACTGTGACTAGACGGTAGCACCTCTCTACAGTCGGGCATTTACTTGCTTTCCCATAATAAACGCTATTATTTAAGATTATTTCCTTGCCTAGATCCATCCGCCACTGTATTCCCCATTGTCCACCTTATATCATCTGTTCATAGTTGCCTACTGTATGTGCCACCCACATTTTAGAGTCTGATAATTAGTGACAGTGTTTTATTTAAAAAGGCCCGGCAGGGCTGGACATGTAACTACCATTGAGGACTCAGAGGTCATGATTTTTTTAAATACCCTTCTGTTTTTTTATTCTTAAGTGACTTCTCATTTATTAAGAGACTCATCGTCTGTATTTTTGAATTCCAGCCTCATCCATAGGTTTAGAACAACATATCCAACCTACATTATATTCTTGGTTATATTATTAGCCAATTAAAGAGGATATAAAAAAAACATAGCCTCAGTATTTCTTAAGTTCCTGGTTATTCCCCTGTTTAGTACTGAAAATGTAGTCCTTATGAAGCAATAGCCTAAGTATATAAACATGGGTCAAGTAAGTAAGACTTCATTGAGCAATAACTATATGTGTGTGTGTGACAACCTGCCGTGTGTTGGGGCTGTGTATTTGGGTATCTCTGTTTTGCATTAGGAGGAGGGGGTGTGGGGGAGCCTGAAGCATCTGCCATGTTTTTGTGTTATTTTAACTGTTGCTACTGTATCAGACTGTGGTCACCAGGGCGGCAGGTAGCGGACTATTTCACTTAGGGCCTGTGTGTTGCTCAAACTAATTTAGTCCAGATGAGGTGGAAATGGGCCCAATTCTGACTCATTTCATGTATCTGAAAACTGCTTTGAATTTCACTAAAGCTTACATTGTTAAGTGTCAATTGTGCCAAAATAGTTTATTTGGTTACTAGTCTCTATATTTTAGAATGTTTTCTTTGATTATGTTCATTTCACCCAGGATCTATAAAAGCACACACTCTATAAATTAGTCATAGAACACTCACATGATTGTATAATTTATCTCCACGGGATGGGGCTTCTTAATTCCTAAAGAGTACATTGAGACTTACAGAGAAAATGTCCCTTTTTTTTTTTAAAAGCCTCTGAGCCCAACCTGAAGGTACGATCACGACTGAAGCAGAAGGTAGCGGAGAGGAGGAGCAGCCCAATGCTCAAGAGAAGAGATGGAAACATCATGGCTCCTTACAAGAAGAGGGCTCTGGAGCTAATGGGTAATTTATGTTGCTGACTTTATGTAGAATTCTCTTTTCCCTGTCTCCAGTGTGCGGTAAATTGTCTACATCTTATAATCTGGTGTTTAAAATGAAAGAAATACAAGCCTGTACTTTAGTGTTATTACTACATAGCTGCATGATAATCAGCCATTTTGCAATGCAGTAGCACATAATGATCATTGCACTTTCATTGTAATCAGGCAGCCATGACCGTACACACTAAACTGTTGTGAGGCTGCAGCTGTTATGCCAAGCCTCTGTGCATGTGTGTTGTGTGTAGAGTGTGAACATGCATACTGTGTCTAACTCCTTGATGTTTCGTAGACTCAACGCCCACTAACAGTGCCCCCGGCTCCGGCCCCAGCTCTCCCATAGGGGCCTCCAGTGCCTTGGGGGGTGAAAATGGACCCTCCTCTCTGCCTACCACCACAAAAACTGAGGTATGTTTATAAATAAATCATCAGTGTTAGTATTGACGATGCCAAAAAAGTATGCCTTACCGCTTATTCTGCATGCAAACCTTCCAAATATCAAAACTATGCTTTTATTTCAGTGCTCTAAAAGCCTGTCTGGCCTTGTGCTTGCAGCTACAAAAACAGCCACTTGTCCTCTGTCTGTTGCACTCCAGTGAAAATGCTTCCAACCTAAAGTTTTTATGCTTAAAGATGACTCATTATGCAGTGTGAAAACAGTGAAGAAATGAATACTGCACATACTTCTATCCATCATTTATCTTCCAGATGTGCCGAACAATCAGTTTCATGTTTTGCCAAAAAAACAAAACAGCTTTAGTTTGGCTGCGAGATTGCTGTTGGCTTGTCATTGTATTTCTCTCATTGGCTTGGCGGCTTTCCACTTGTGAGTTTTTCAGAGGCCCAATAGATTAATGGCTGAGTTGCTGACCAGAGCTCCCTTTGGACCGAGCTCACAAAGCAGACCATTATAGAGGGTGGCAGATATGACACATCTCGGAACAATCTTAACAGAACAGCTGTGTTTTCCTTAACCATCGCTGTTTACTCTCTCAGGGATGTCCAGTGACACAGAGAAGGGGGAGACGCCCTGACATGGGGCTGAAGGTTGGGGCTGAGGGAGACAGACGAACTGTGGAGTTTAATTGATATCCCAGGCACTGGTAGCCAAAGACACCCACATGCTAACAACATAAACACACAAGGATTGCTATTGTATCAGCCCAAGCTGAGGCTCTCATGAAAGTCATTGGGAGACTGCGGGGCTGCCCGTAGACCTCATGCCTGTTGCAAAAGCAAGGCATGTTTGTGCACCGTTACATTAGGTATCCTTTTTCAGAGGGAACGGGTCCCTTGGGTCAAATATGGGCCGGATATCCACATACAGGTCACTGCGTACTGGTAGGGGTTGGAAGGATAAACATTGCTGTTCCAAAACCACATGCTGCTCTGCTGGGTACAGGAAGTATGCCCCAGCGCTGATGTTCTGTGAGAGAATAGCCTGAGGGTGGGGACCGGGGAGAAAAAGCAGGCCGGTTGGCGACTGAAGAACTGAGGGTGGAGCGGTAGATTTAAAGGTTTACAATGTTTTATAATAACTAATCGTCCTCTGTGGTGCTATTCTGTGAAGCTCCGGGAAACTTTTGCTGCTTGCCACTCCTTTTTAACAGCTTTCGTTAAAAAAACTCATACCTTTCCCTTCGCAGCAAGGAGGCCTGTTGCTCGTCATAGTGCATTAACATTTATGCCACTGCTCATGTTGCCTTCTGAAATTGTCCATAGCGGGATTTCAAAATCTGTCGTCTCCTCCTAAATCTGTCTGATTTTCTCTGTCCTGTTTTTTCGATGCAGAGATGGCCTTCACATCCGAGATTATTCCAACCTGAGGGCTCTGTGTCGATGCTGAACTTATACACATCTCCCTCCTTACCCAACATCTCCTTTGGTCTTTCCACTGCATCCTCGTCCATAAGTGTGAGTACATATTTTGCAGATACTCTTAGATAACGTGTTTGTTTTACATGAAATGAAAACCTGCCTAATACAGTTAAGTGGTGGCAAGTTTTTCCTGCTCAGTCTATGAGTTGAATAACCTGCCATCAGTGGCTGTCGGGGGTCTCTATACGACCGCAGGTCACTGACCTGTGGCCCCAAACGATTTTATCGCCCTTAGATAAATATTTTTCTGCAGTGTCTTGTGTCAGGCATGGTCTTATCTTCCCCTATTACCTAATTTATCACAGCTTTTAAAAGGCCAAGTCCACTCAAGTGCAACCCCTGATAACACAGCACGTGATATATCATCTTTTAGCTCTCTGGCACATTCCACAGAGGCCTGTTCATCAGCTGCAGAAACTTCAAACTATACATGGTCTCTGATATCATCAATGCCTGATTTGTAGCTAGAGTAATCATTTTCATTCACATAAAACAGCTGATACTGATAGTACTATACTATTAAAATGAACCACTTAGAGGACCTACAAGAGACGACCAAGCCTAGTGCACATCATGTGTAGTTGGAATTTAAGAATAACCCTTTCTGTGTCTCTTCTCTCAGGCCATGGGGTTAAAGGACAGATCAACAGAAATCAAGCATGGGCTTCCTGGGCACCTACTGGGCCCCGTGCCCCTTCAGACAGGCCTGGAGACTAAAGTGAGCCCCAGTCACCAGGCCCTCCTCCAACACCTCCTTCAGAAGGAGCAGATGAGACAGCAGAAGATCCTCTCCTCTGGTGAGACTGCGTTACATGATTCTAAACACAACATTACGTTGCACTATACCGCCTAATATGCCCATACTTTAAGTTCAATGAATTCAAAACATAACTTTAGAGGGAGCCTAATTGTATTGTTATTTTGTTTTTCCTCAAGGCCAAGTCACCATGTCATCACACCCTCAGTCCCCTCTGGCCATGAAGGATCGCCCCTCCAGCAGTCGGCCTAAACTACCAAAACACCGGCCGTTGAACAGGACCCAGTCGGCGCCACTGCCTCAGAACACACTGGCCCAGCTTGTCATCCAGCAGCAACACCAGCACTTCCTGGAGAAACAGAAACAGTACCAGCAGCAGATCCATATAAATAAGGTATTGAGCTGTTCATCAATATTTAAAACACAGGGGAGGATTTTGACTTTCAAATTGCTTTTTCGCAACATTCTCTTTTCCTTTCTAGGTCTCATGAGGTATTTTTTTGACTGCAGGGAGTCTGATTTGATCATTTAAAGCACGCAAATACTGATCTATCTTTAGCACTTAGCTCAGGTTTACACACCCATGCTGTTGTCTGTTCTTCCCTGGAATCCTGGTGTTATTTCTGCAAAGCAAAGAACTTCTGCCTGACTTCAAAATGGGGAAGAAATGCTTCCCCTGCACTAATTCTGTTATCTTAGCTTAAGGCATCAGTGCTATTCACATGCTTACTCTGTGAAATTCAATTCAGCTAAGTTCAAATGCAGGAACATTTGCCCAGAATACATTTTGTTCCTCTGTGGCAATATTTGTGTTTCTGTTAGCTGGCCGAGGTGACCTCGCTATACACAGAGTGTAATTATTCTGGTGAGGGACGTGTGTGAGGTGGCTCACACAGTGAAAGGCAGCATTGTGTGAGCTCACATACTGATGTGTTCCAATGCTAGGTCTTGAAAGAGCCTTGGGAACCATAGAGCAACTAATACCTAGAAGTCATAAAAAGCACAAAGCACCATAAGCGCTTATTGAGTTGCACATGTACAGGTTAAACTGTAACTAACTGTGTGAATTCCTCTGTAACACTTCGAACAGTGCCAGGCATCTGAAACTAGTTTTAATATCTGCTGTAATTATTGTTACGTACCTTATGAAGTTGATTTGATTTTAAATGAGCTTGGGAGTAAACATTTTGTCTTGGAACACATGAACACTGATCACTCAGGCCAATGAGATCGCAAGTAAAGCCTCTTTACGTGGAGGTTATAAATGGCCACTAATCACGGATGAGCCCTCAGTGTACTGTTTACTGAGAGGGATCTCCGAAACATTGCCCTAATTAATTTCCTAGCAGAGGCTTGTCTACGTTTTTTTGTATACGTCCTTCGGTGCCTGCAACAGTAGGGGGCACTAATGGAAATGTACAAGAGCTTAGGGATTTTAGAAAGAGCTACGCACATTGTTGTAATGTACGCACCAAGCGAAAGAGTCTAATTCTTATAGCTGCAAAGATATTTTTATACGGCCTACATTCTGTAGACAGTAAAGTTATTGGTAATGGTAGAAACTTCTCTGTCCTGCTCCTTGAGCCCTCTTGTGGCAGATTAATCATCATTACAGTCATTCTGATTTAAACATACATACATCCCTATGCATTGAGTTCCTCTGTCAGGCTGTATTTTACTCTTATTCTGTTTCTGGTAACAAGTATGTGTGCACTATTACCCTCTAAAGAATCTCGTTTCCACTGAGCTTGATGTGCACCTGTTACTTTAATGGAGAAGTAATGATCTATTTGATTGATTAAAATACATTTTATTAAATTAAGTCATGTGATTCACTGATATTCTACAAAATATAAGAAAAACACTTTTATTTTTGCTAAATCTTTTGTGTCCTCAATTTTCCATCACACAGCACATTGTATCAATTTCCCACCCTCCAATATAGCTAATATAATTAAATACCAAGGAATAGGCAAATGAAAACTGAGTAAGTTAAGTCAATAAGTTAAAGCTTATTGGCTGCAGGATATCACCATTAATGCGGGCCGATGTGTTTTGCAGCTGCTGTCGAAGTCCATTGAGCAGTTACGTCAGCCCAGTGCACACCTGCAGGAGTCGGAGGAGGAGCTGGAGGAGCAGCACAGAGAGCCGGTGGAGAGCATGCAGGAGGACAGGCTGCCCCCTGGAGGAGTCATCCGGAAGCACACGCTGAGCAGCAGCAGCAGCAGTGGCTCCAGCGGCGAGCTCCCCGACGCTCACTACGGGGTCATCAGGGTCAAGGAGGAGCCGGCTGATAGTGAGGATGAGGGCCTGACCAATCAGGGCTTAGAGTCAGAGCAGAGTTCCTATCTCCACCAGGTCAAAGGGCGACTGGTGATAAGAGCCATGATCTGAGAAGGGAAGAGGATGAGATCACACACTCTGAACATTCGCAGATTAACAGCTCTTACCAACATGTGCATCTACACCCCTGCAGTTCACACACACACTCACACATACAAACGCATACACACACACACAAACACATACAAACAGACAGCAGCCATTGCATAGTAGGCCAACTCTCACAGCTGCAGCATATGACCCTTTTTCACAAAGCTGCAGCCCACACTCTAAGACTCTCTGTTTGTTATCTTTGTGAAGTGATCTCTGTAAAATATGTACCTTTCACTTTTGTGTATATATTATGAAAAAGATTTAGACCCGTTCTTTTTAAGAGCTGATTTGGTTGTCTACAGTCCGCTCAAACAAAAACGACAAAAAGTCATATGTATATATACTGAGGATTAAGCATCAAAGATGATTTCTAGAAGGTTGAACAGGTGTACAGCTTTCAAAGAGCCAACCCATTTTCCTACCGTGTACATTTCTGCCATAAAACATTTGAATGCTCTTCTATCCACTTAACACTGAGAGTTATCATAAAGTTTGTTAAAGTATTTAACACACTACGTGCTCCACTGTTCTGAAAAACCTGTGATGATCTTCAACTTTAAGTGGTCTCAGAACTGTAACAATAATGAACATCTGAGAATGTATACTTAAATCCTAACTGAGGACGCTCCCTCAGGGCAGACTAGGAGTGATATTGCCATTGGAATATGGTCGCTGCTCATATTGCAATTTGAAGGATAAAGCACTAAATCCCTGCTTGGGTGTGCAGGCATCTCCCAACACACCCAAGTCTCCATGTCTCTCTCGGATCGGTCCCAGAGCCAGGGCCCTGTGTTAAGCCCAGCTCTCTCTCCCTCTGGGTCCAAATCAAAGCTCGGCGGGTTCCTGCCCAGCTTTCAGCAGAGGAGTCAGACAGAGAGAAAGAGAGAGAGGGCCGGGCAGGAAATGCCTGCTAGAAGCCAGGAGTTGGAGTGATTCATGTGTGCAGGAATGTTGAGAGAGGAGGACCTAGGGTTGGAGGAGTCCAAGGGGCCAGGCTTGAGAATTGATTTACTGTCAAGGCGAATTACAGAGTGAGTGGGGATATGGTTAAGGGAGTCCCTTTTAAAGGGAATCGCTTCCTTCGTATTCCCTCGTGGCATGCTTACCTCAACATGCAGGTTTGATGTTACTTCAATAAAAAAAACCCGGACGGGACCTTGCTTCTTCTTCTTCTTTCTTTTTTTTTCGAACCTGTTTTCCCCTGAAAGTGCCCATTGCGACATGTATAGTCCGTCTTAAAGTGATCAATCAAATGTATTGCTTAGCCGTAAACCTCCCCGTTTCATTTGTACCGTCAAACTAAATGTAAAGAAAATGCTAGTATGAGGTTCTTTGATGGATTCATGTGAAAATCAAAACTGTCTGTCTTATACTGTACATTCAGATTGTCCGGTTTCAATGTTTTTAGTGTGAGTAAACGCAATCAGAACAATGTGAGTCTTGTTGTCTTGCTCCTTTTGATTTGGTTGTAACGAGAACCCCTTTGCTGCCAGTGGGGGGGGGGAAGGGGGGCTGGGGAATCCTGTGGTCTGTTCATAGCAGTTTGCATTTCTTCTCTTTCTTGCCTTGTGTGATAAACCTTTCTTTTTCTAAATAAAGTTAATTTACCTCGGAAGCTCATTTGTCAATTATTTATACATTATACTGTATATGTCCATCGCATTATGAGGTTGCATGCAGAGTAAAGAAATAAAAAAAACGCCGTCTTTTAAACTGAGAAACCTGTGTGTTTTACGTATTTACAGAATACATTCCTAATCATTTTGACATTTTCATCCCGAATGAACTTTCTAAATCATTAGACCAACTTGTTTTCCCACACTATGTCCTATACACCCTGCTCTTTATTTCCAGGGGATCTTTGTAACCCTTTATAGGGAGCTTAAGAGGCTTTCCAAACATGTCTTTGATGTTAGCAAGCAGGGCTTCTTGTGGCAGCATTAGAGCAGTCAAGATAAGGTGAGTTGCGAGAGAGTGATATATTACTTGCGCAGATTCTTTCAAACCAAGCTTAAGCAATTTCACAGCAAGCTTAGTTCATGGGACTGGCCTGATATGCTATACACGCAATGATGAGACTGGAAAAGTTCACTCGTAGTCTAATGTTGCTTTCTGAAAACGCTACTCTGAGAACATCGTCCAAATGGCTGCCTGCTCTTTGCTTTGTACATGATGGTTCAAGTAAGACCTTTAATATATAACAAATATAAACTCTTTTATACAAATTTTGTGAGAGCTCCTAAAGTATTTTCACAGGTGTTGAGTTAGTTCCCATTAGGAAGTATTTGAGTTAAATTAGACACTGACTCTTACTTAAGTAGATTCCATCTGTCTTGGGCTTCAGGCCCTTGTGATTTTAAATGAGCTGTTACAAAGGCAGAAAAAATAACTAAGCCCAAACCCATCTGCGCTGCCCCTCCCCAGCTGCCCACAGAGCCAGTTGTAAAAGCAAACAAGCATTTTTAAAGGTGTAAGGAAGGAAGGACGACCCAAGCCTAACTATTTCCTCTAAATGGATTAGATTCTAAGTAGGGCCTGTATTTTTTTTATCACCTACAGTGCTGTTAAAACTAGCAATTTGGATGCAGGGTGCAAACACATGCAAGAATGTGGCATAGCTGAAGGTAATGGTGGCTTTGTAGAGTCTTAAATCACAAGGTGCCAACTCCAAATGGCTTTATTTTCTAATGTCTGGGGATCAAGAAGAAAATACCAAAAACATGAAACAAAGTCTTGATGTTCTGATGCAGAGTCATAGTAAAATACATTTAAGTCGCTGTCTGCATTGCTGCCAACACTTAAAACCGATGGCTTACATATATTATTCATAACACATGAGATATACATACTGTACTAGCACAATGCCTTGAATTGAATTTATTTTTCTATGATGGATCCTGTCCTTTTAAAGATTTCTATAATATAAAAAAGTACATCCTTGCAAATCAAATCAATCTTATAGCAGTGAGTTTCCCAAATGGGCTCTTTTACAAAACCCTGACACTTCTTGGGAACTACCACTGACAAACATAGGGCCCTTCTTGTCTATTAGACATCTGATTTACAAAGGAGATCCAAGAGAAATGTAATTCTTTGTTTCATGAAAACGGCTAATTATTGATTAAAAAGAGAACGGGGCATTATTCTCTGTGTGCAGAGCCTGCAGACCCCTTGACTTGTGAATAAGCAGTGAAGGTCAGGCATGTTGGCTGGAGGTTTAATGTTTCAGCATCATGGTGAAGGCTCTGCACATTACACTCTAACACATAAGGGAAATTACTGAGACAAGAGGACCGATCACATATTAGAACGTGATCTTACTCTGCATTTTGTTCCTGCTTTATCCACCTTTAATATCCATCCACTCTGAGTTCCTGTCATTAGATACTTAATAGCAATCACAAAAGATATGAAAAACCTTGCCTTATCTGGAAATAAACCCAAATGTTCTGTTCTTATACATATTTGTCTTAAGCAGGTTTTACTGGCTTGCTGAATGTTCCTGTACTCTCTGTTAAAAATGAGTAGGAGTGGCACTGAGGGATACTTATTGTGGGTTGTTATATAAATTAATTATACGTCTTGTGCAAGATCCAGAATAACTTTAAACACCATATATATCCTGAAAAAGCTCTGGAGATCCATCATATTTCTGGACACGCTCCTCTCTCTCTGAATTCAATTGGATTACTTCACATTTAAGTTGTTTAAAGTTATGAGAGGATATTTAGGACATACAGGTTGTTTAAGATTGAGCTTTGGTTGTCGGGATGGACTGATGGACTTGGTGGGAAATGGTTCTCAGCTGCAATCTTCCCCCTTGTAGAAATGTGTGCACAGTTTAGGGCTTGGATGTTTTGGAGTGCTAAGTATTCCAAGAACCGCTCCAAGAGTTTGATAATGGAGTTTCTAAGTTAGGCGTTCACCTGGCAGCCCTGGACATACTGAGCAAGCAATGCCAACGTTTCCCAGTTAACACGGAATAAAGCAACACAATCGGATTTGCAGAGCAGCTTCTTTCCCCTGGCTGTAAGACTCCTAAACTCATCTTCCAAGCTCTATCATATAAAACATGTCATGCTTTTGTTTTGTTTTATTATGTAGCAAACAGGGATTACAACTGCAAAGACAATCAATGAAATCTAATGAATCTTCACTTTCTTTTAGAGTAACAAAGAGTTACAGGATCAAGAAACAGATCCAGAATAGCTTCAGCATATTTTTCTTCTTCTTTGATGTTAGATGTTAACAAAGTAATTTTTTCCACTGATTTCATGATTTTGACACAGCGTATATAAATATTTTTGTTTCATAAGTCAAGGTAAATAAGGAAGTAATTTGCAAGATGAATCTCCATGACTTCAAAGGGGGCTAAAAACAGTGCATTAAGGACATTTTCCAGCTTTTTTGTGAGCATGTCAGGATTTGTATGAATCTGGCATCTTGCAGTACAACGTGGTGTTTTTCTTTCCATGTGCAGGGTGCAGGACAAACGAAAGAGACTGTGTTGCGTGCTGGTGTGAAGAATTGCAACTCAAAAAAGAAAGAGAAATAAGAGCAATGATGTAAGCTGGGTGTGCAGATGACTCATTTCACGTTGTGGTCTGTGATGTCTCTAGCTCCAGATTCCTTTCTTTGATGGCTTGTGTGCCTGTCATTTCACATTAAATCAGATACTTTTAGAGATCTATAACTGCAAGTCAAAAACAAAGCTTGATTTGTGAGCATTTCACAAGGGTGTATACTTGTTGTGTTCCCACTTAATGAAAATCAAATTGAACCACAGGAGACAGCATTGTTTTAAGAGCAGAGGAAGAATCCAACATCTTTTTTATTGTCTCCTGAGATTGATGAACTTAGAGAGTGTTTATACTATTGTCAGTCTCCCTGACTGGAGTCATCCATTCTGCTATCTTAGCCTCTCAAGGATTAATATACCTTTTCAAGTTTAATGAGATAAGAGACCTGGGGGAGTTTTCCTCCTGCTGTGTTCAAAGACCGTCTGTCCTGAGGAACTGCTTTATCTCAGCCACTGATTGAGCTGGATGATAGGTGATACTGAGGAAGCGCAGTGGCCCAGGGAAGTGGCCTCTCCACTCAGGAGATGGGGACTGGACAACTTGGCCTCTGCTGTCTGAGAGAAACCCATCAGTGGGGCCTTGGATGCCGCCTCGTCTCTTTGATTCCTGCGACCAGGCATTTTTACGTGCCCACCTCCCTCACACCGTCCAATCCAGAGCCCATAAAGCAAGTCTGCTGCTCTCCAGCTAGTTGGACAGGACGTGTTTGTAAGTGTTGCCTGAATGCACCGCCAGGCAAAATGACACCCAGAGGGCTCGTAAGACTTGTGATTTCTTCTCCAAGCCCGTGCCAAGAGACCATTTTGAGCTCCAGCTCAATTCTCCTAAAATGTTGCCATTTGTGGTTTGTGACCATGGACCGCTGGGGTTTGTCTCATGATCTATACTGCATGGCAAATGTAATGTATTAACTAGGGACATAATCGTAAGGGAAACACAGAAAGCCCATAATGACGGACTGATTTAAACACCACATAATAACCTCACACTTCAAAGAAAATGTGTTCTAGAAAAAATATTCAGACCTACATCATATGTTGACCTTGAAATAACAATAGTTTAATCATTCAACAAATATACATACTGCACTGTGTCCATATTTAACGAAGCATGTCTGTGGTTTATCTATACATTTTAAGATGTGAAGGGTATTTAAGACACAAGATAGTGAAGTAGGAGGAATGCATGAGGAAGCAATGCTCCTGGGAAATATTATTCAAGGAATGTTTAAGGGCTCTCTCATTATCACTATATATTGAGAGAATAAAATGGGGGGCCCCTGAAAAGGTCCCCGAGGCATCTGCATGCAATGGAGTTCATGCTACACACTATATCACAGGTTAATCTCAGAGGGAATCATGTGTGTGTGGACACACGAGGCACGTGTTGGAGCAGCAGGTCGGAGACAGTGGGAAAAGCAGGGCTCCAAGCTCCATTAATGTTGCTGCTGCCATGTTTGCTCATCTGTGCAATTTCCAAATAACGTCATCCCTCAAATACACTGGAGGACACGCCTGATGCCTGTGGGCTGTCTCATGTGAAATCTACTTTGAAAAATCTAATGTTGTATTACTAAAGTTACATTTGAACAGTTTTTTTTGTTTGGTTTATTTGATATCTCATTAAGGACAGCAAATGTTCTTAAAATATATCATTATGGGCAGCTAAAATGTAGGTGCATACATTTCCCCCATGAAAGCATAATGTTATAACTGATTTGTTTGCTGTATTTTCAATGGTTCTGTAAGAATGGTTATGTTTTTAACTGTGAATCTCATTTAAATAGTCAAATGTATTATTGACAGCTCTACTCAAAGTGTATTAACGATAACAAACTGATATAAAAGGTCAGATTGAACCAATTCAATATTCAGGGAATTAAACTGTGAAGTTAAATCCAGACCTTGGACAACAGGTTGTTCTCTGCAGCTTTAAACCACATTGTTTGGTCTTTTTTAGTGACGCGAAAGCAGGAGGACCACAGGAAGTAGTTAAAAGCATATAAAAGGTGATTGAGATTTATTTTGCTAAATTT